TTTTAAATGTTGTCATTGTACCAGCCGCCTTCCTCTGGCAGCTCATTCCATACATGCAAGACCTTCTGTGTGGAAAAAGTTGCCCCTTGGGTCTCTTTTATATCTTTCCCCACTCACCTTAAACCTATGCCCTCTCGGTTTGGACTCCTCTACCCTGGGAAAAAGACCTTGGCTATTCACCCTATCCATGTTCCTCATAGAGTCATAGAGCTATACAGCATGGAATCAGACCCTTTGGTCCAACTTGTCCATGCTGACCAGATATCCTGTATAAATCTAGTCCCATTTACCAGCATTTGGCCCATATCCCTCTAAACCCTTCCTATTCATATACCCGTCCAGATGCCTTTTAAATGTTGTCATTGTACCAGCCTCCACCACTTCCTCTGGCAGCTCATTCCATACATGCCCCACCCTCTGTGTGAAAAGGTTCCCCCTCAAGTCCCTTTTTTTCCTCTCTCACCGTGAAACTATGCACTCTTGTTTTAGACCCCTTTACCCCAACGAAAGGACCTTGTCTATTCACCCTCTCCATGTCTTCATGATTTTATAAACCTCTATAAGGTCAACCCTCAGCCTCCAATGCTCCAGGGAAAACAGCCCCAGCCTATTCAGCCTCTCCCTATAGCTCAAACCCTCCAACCCCAGCAACATCCTCATGAATCTTTTCTGAACCCTTTCAAGTTTCACAACATCCTTCCTATAGCAGGGAGACCAGAATTGCACACAATACTCCAAACGTGGCCTAACCAATGTCCTGTACAGCCACAACATGACCTCCCAACTCCTATACTTAATGCACTGACCAATAAAGGCAAGCATACTAAATGCTACCCTCACTGTCCTGTCTATCTGCGCTCCACTTAATGGAACCTGCACTCCAAGGCCACTTTGTTCAGCAACATTCCCCAGGACCTTACCGTTAAGTGTATATGTCCTGATTTGCCTTTTCAAAATGCAGTACCTCACATGTATCTAAATTGAAGTCCATCTGCCACTCCTTGGCCCATTGGCCCATCTGATCAAGATCTCATTGTACTTCTTCGCTGTCCACTACACCACCGAACCATACCTCCTATGATCACATCCAAATCATTATATAAATGATGAAAAGCAGTGGACCTAGCACCGATCCTTTTTTCTGTTATACTCTATTCCCCTATTTCTGAAGCCCCAAATGCTCTTAGTTTCTTTTTATTTGCACTCAGACTTGCAAGGAATTATTAATTTTTTCCAAGATTAACTCTTTACCAACACCTTTCAGCATCTTTCCATTTGAATGCATACTCCAAACCCTTGCGGACTCGACCATATCTACCTCAAGTATTTCAATCCTCCATGCTCTTTATCAACAACACAGTTTGATGGTTTGAGTGTTAGACCCAAATGCAAAATATGTACAAAGTCATCCAACACTGGAGAACATCACGTTTTTTTTCCTTTATTCATTCACGGGATGGGGGTGTTGCTGGCTAGGCGGCATTTATTGCCCAGAGGGCATTAGGAGTCAACCACATTGCTGTGGATCTGGAGTCACATGTAGGCCAGACCAGGTAAAGTTGGCAGTTTCCTTCCCTAAAGGACATTAGTGAAGCAGATGGGTTTTTCTAACAGTCGACAATGGATTCATGGTCATCATTTGATTCTTAATTCCAGATATTTATTGAATTCAAATTCCACCATCTGCCATGGTGGGGTTCAAACCCAGGTCCCCAGAACATTATCTGGGTCTCTGGGTTAACAGTCCAGCGATAATACCACTAGGCCATCACCTCCCCACTTGCAACCTTTCTCCACTTAAAACAATTTCCTTTTAAGTGGAACCCTTTGTTTCATGTCAGTCAACCAACTTCCTATCAAATATTTCCTGTCTGGGCCTACACATGATGTTGACGTACCACTTAGGCATACCACTCTAACGTGTTGAGCCAAGGTCTCTGCGTTGCCTCAATTCTTGCCTCTTGCGCATCCCTGTTTTTAATTGCTCCACACTTGGCAGCTGTCCTTTTGATTGCCTCTGTCCTAAATGATGAAATTCCCATCGTAAACCTGTCTGTCCTTCTTCACAATATTCCTCAAAATGTACAAACATACAAGTTAAGACTCGACCTTCAATTAGGACTGGTCCCTCAAGCATGCTCTACTATTCAGTAACATCATGGGTGATCTGATTGTGACCTTAACCCCACATTCCCATGTACCCCCAGAAAAACCCATCTGGTTCACTAATGTCCTTTAGGGAAGGAAACTGCCATCTTTACCTGGTCTGGCCTACATGTGACTCCAGATCCACAGCAATGTGGTTGACTCCTAATGCCCTCTGGGCAATAAATGCCGCCTAGCCAGCAACACCCCCATCCCGTGAATGAATAAAGGAAAAAAAAACGTGATGTTCTCCAGTGTTGGATGACTTTGTACATATTTTGCATTTGGGTCTAACACTCAAAACATCAAACTGTGTTTCACTCCATTGTTAGTCAAGAATCAGTCTACCTCTGCCTTAAAAATATTCAATGACCCAGCTTCCACCACTCTCTGGCGAAGAGTTCCACAGACCCGTAACCAGCTGAAGAAAAAGAGTTTTCCTCATCTCCATCTTAAATGGGAGAACTCTTATTTTTAAACAGTATTCCCTAGTTCTAACCTCACACAAGCGAAAACCTCCTTTCAGCATTTGATTCTTAATTCCAGATATTTATTGAATTCAAATTCCACCATCTGTGTGGAGCTGGAGGAACACTGGAGGCCAGGCAGCATCAGAGGAGCAGGAAAGCTGATGTTTCGGGTCGGGACCTTCTTACTGTCTCTTTCAGCATTTACCCTGTCAAGCCCGTTTGGGATCTTGTGTACTTCAGTTAAGTCATCTCTGACTCTTCTAAAGTCCAATGGCTACGGGTCCAACTTTTCCTCATAAGACATTTCCTGCACCCCAGAAATCAGTCAAGTAAGCATTCTCTAAACTGTTTCTAACACATTTATATCCTTTCTCAAATAAGGATACAAAAACTGTACACTACATTTATGAGACCACATCCGAAGTAATAGAGTCAACAGCACAGAAGCGGCCCTTTGGCCCATCATGTTTGTGCTGACCTATGTAAACTTATCCCACTTTTCTGTGCAACTATAACAAAACATCCCTGCTTTTATGTTCCATTTCCCTTCGCAATAAACAATAACATTCAATTTTACAGTAAAATACTGCCATGCTGGAAATGTTAAGCAAAAACAGCAAGTGCTGGAGAAACTCAGCAGGTCTGGCATCATCCATAGAGAGAGAGAGAGAGAAAGAGACAGACAGACAGAGTTAATGTTTTGAGTCCAGAATGTCTCTTGAAGATGCTGCCAGACCACTGAGTTTCTGCACCCTTTCTGTTTACATTCCAACATTCTATTTGCCTTTCATGCAGACTAACATTTTGTGATTTATGTACCAGGACACCCACAACCTTCAGTACCTCAGAGTTACAGAGTGATAGAGCACGGAAACAAACCCTTTGGTCCAACTCATCCATGCTGACCAAGTTTCCCAAACTAAACTAATCCCACTTGCCTGCATTTGGCCCATATTCATGTACCTGTCCGAATATCATCTAAATGTTGTAACTGTTTATGCGTCTACCACTTCCTCTGGCAGTTCATTCCATATACGAACCACCCTCTGTGTGAAAAAGTTGCCCCTCAGGTCCCTTTAAAATCTTTCTCCTCTCACCTTAACACCTTAAAAATATGCCATCTAGTTTTGAACACCGCCCTTTTGCTATTTACCTTATCTATGCCCTTCATGATTTTATAAACCTCAATAAGATCACCCCTCGACCTCCTACACTCCAGTAAAAAAAGTCCCAGCCCCTCCTTATAACTCAAACCCTCCAGTTTTGGCAACATTCTGGTAAACCTTTTCTGTATCCTCTCCAATTTAATAATATCCTTCCTATTGCAGGGTGACCAGAACTGTATATAGTACTCCAAAAGTGGCCTCACCAGCATCCTGTACAACCTCAATCCCTCTCAAATAATATGCTGCTTTTAAAGTTTTTCTTGTCAAAATGGACAAGTTGGCATTTTCCAACATTATCAGTCATCTGCCAACCTTTTGCCCAGTCACTTAAACTATCTATATCCCTTTATAGACTCCTTGCGTACTCTGCGACTTGCCTTCCTACCTATCTTTGTCATTAAATTTAGCTGACATACATTGGGTCCCTTCAGTCAAATCAGTGAAGTAAATTGTAAATAGTTGTTGAGGCTCCACACTGATCCCTGTGGCATTCCACTCATTGCATTTTGCCCCCTGAACATGACCCGTTTATGCCTACTCTCTTTCCTATTGGCTAACTAACCATCTATCCATGTTAAGATGTTACCCCTACACCTTGAGCTCTTTATTTTGTGAGGCACCTTGTCAAATGCCTTTTGGAAATCCAAGTAAAGTAAATCCATTAGCTTCCTTTATCCATGTTTGTTACATCTTGCCTGGATGAGTGTACCTCCAACAACACTCAGGAAGTTTGACACTATCCAGGACAAAGCTGTTCACTTTATTGGCATCATATCCACAAACATCCACACCCTCCATCACTGATGCTCAGTAGCATGGGAACACCACCCCCTGCAAGTTCCCCTCCAAGCCACTCACCATCCTGACTGGAAGTACATCACTGTTCCTTCAGTGTCACTGGGTTAAAATCCTGGGACTTCCTCCCTGACGTCATAGGGACGTACTTACAGTGCATGGATTGCAGTGGTTCAAGAAGGCAGTTCATCACCACCTTTTCGTGCAATTAGACATGGGCAATAAATGCTGACCCAGCCAGTGACACTCACATCACATGAATTTTTTAAAAATTTTCACTCATGGGAGATGGGTGCCTATTATTAATAATAATAATAATAATAATAATAATAATATTATTTCTATTTATTGCCCTAGTTGCCCTTGAGAAGGTGCTGGTGAGCTGCCTTCTTGAATCACTACAGTCCATGCACGATGTGGAGGTGCCGATGTTGCACTGGAGTGGACAAGGTCAGAAGTCACACGACACCAGATTATAGTCCAACAGGTTTATTTGAAATCACAAGATTTCGAAGTGCTGCCCCTTTGTCAGGTGAAGTGAGAAAAAGCATACAGGTGCAGAATTTATAATTGGAGAGATTAATGGGCAGAGAGATCAAAAGATCATACAAATGATGTGAGTGGAGTGTCGAATAATAAATCTCTGCAGGTGATCAAGTGTGTCAGACGATGTGAGTAAAGTGTCAACAGCTGAATAACAAGTCAAGGGGATGATGTATAATCCAATTAACTGATTAACAGGGAGATAATTACAAAAAATTAAAAATAAGGTGGTGTTGGAGACACACCAAATGGCGGAAATAACATGATAGGTAGGAGAGTCGCATGCCAAGGATCTGAGCAAAATAACAAGTAATCCAAAACTGTACAAACTAATTGAGGTAGAGAGATCATAACAAGTAATCAAGGTGATAGTGTCAAAACAGGACAGTAAGGAAGATTTGACAGATACAGAACAGTGTGGTGGGGGTCACATGTAGCGCGACATGAGCCCAAGATCACAGTTGAGGCCACCTTCATGGGTATGGAACTTGGCTATCAGTTTCTGATCGGTGATTCTGCATTGTTATCTCGAACGCCGCCTTGAAGGATGCTTACCCGAAGATTGGAGGCTGAGTGTCCTTGGCCGCTGAAGTGTTCCCCGACTGGGAGGGAACACCCCTGTCTGGTGATTGTTGCGCAGTGTCCAATCATCCGTTGCTGTAGCGTCTGTATGATGTCGCCAATATACCGTGCCTTAGGGCATCCTTGCCTGCGGTGTATGAGGTAGACAACATTGGCCGAGTCACATGAGTATGTGATGGGTGGTGTTCCCGTGTGTGGTGGTAGTATCTATGTCGATGATCTGACGTGTTGCAGGGTTTGCTGTGGCAGGGTTATGTGGTGTTGTGTTTGTCACCTGCCGACAGGGCTACGCTCTGAAAGCTTGTGATTTCAAATAAACCTGTTGGACTATAACCTGGTGTTGGGTAACTTCTGACTTCGTCCATCCCAGTCCAACAGTGGCACCTCCACATCATGGCCAAAATACTGACATTCTCTTTTTTTGGATGCCACTTTTTAAGAGTTCTTTTTCTTCTGCAATTTCAACTACCTTTTCATTTGTCTTATGGTCTGTATATGGAATGTTTCTATTCTATTCTATAGACACTATTTTAAAAAATGGAAAAGGAACAAAGTAATGTCGTAATGGGATCACTAAACGATGGAAAAGATAAAATATTGTCGGTGATAGTGAAATTGCAGAAAAGCAAAGAATTGCTTGCTTCAGTACTTACCAAAGAGGTGAAGCAGCTGGACATGATATTGGAAAATGAGATAAAATTGATACCCATTTAAAGTCAAAAGAGGACAATTACTAAATAAACTAATAAAACGCCTGAAACAAAAACAGAAATTGCTGGAGAAACTCAGCAGGTCTGGCAGCATCTGTGGAGATAAAGCAGAGTTAACATTTCAAGTCCGGTGACCCTTCTTCAGAACTCCTGGTGTGGATGGATTGCGTTCGTGCATTTTAAGCGTCTAGAGGAGAGATGGCAGAGAAGCAATTTCATGCCTTTTTTTAAATTTCAGTAGATAAGGGCATAGTGCCAGAGACCTGGCAGATAGTTAATGTTGTACTGATATTTGTCTAACAAGGGAATAGAACATATCCAAGAAATTATAGACCGTTGATGACAAGAAAAATAATAGAATGCCCAGAAAAGGCAAAAAAAGGACCCACCCCCCGGCAGATCTTGGTCCTTTGCTGAACCAGAGCGTAGTGCTGTGATGTTTCCCACAGATAGGGTGAGGAGGCAGTTACCAAGTCTACCTTGGTTGGAACAGGAATCAAAGCCCAAGCTGTTAGCACTAATGCGATCTACATGCTTGTTGTCTAGCAAGCTGAGCTGAGTTGAATGGTATAAATGCATCTTGAGGAATGGCTGCATAAGTATATTTGGGAGATTGGAATAGAGGATTATGTAGTTGGATGAGGAAGGGAAGAGGCTTGACTGGTTGGACCGAATGGTCTTTTTCTGTGTAATATCTTCTCTGTAATTCTACCTAAAGTTTCTTTTATGGAAAATTACCCATTAATTATATCATGACAAATTTTAAAATAACTCCATTACATTTTGAAGATTGGCACAGAATGCCATTCGTTTACTCTGCAACCCTGTCCCGGATGATTTTATGCAAAAACAAATTGTGGATTCCTGGGAGTTTGAGCATTTTTGGAGAGCGGTCCTTTTCACTAGATACGTGAAAATGTACTTGGCAAAGGTCTAAGTTGTGATGCTCACTGCCTTTGATTCCACGGTGTTGTACAAATCTTTCTTTATGATAAGGAGGCAGAGGAACCATTTCTGGCTGACAACATTTGCAAGTGGTTCAATTATACGTTTCAGTGCAATGTTTACAAATAGATCTAATAAGATTTGCCAAACATTTCTTTGTAGAGGAAGTGCTTTTTAAAACTAGCTGAAATTATACAGCGATTTTCAAGAACAGCAGGGTTTTCTTTAAAGCAATGTTTCTATCTCCATGACCCAGTAATTATCATGATGGCTTGACAAGTTGTAGAAAGATTTGTCCAATGGCCATCATTATAAAGTTGTACAATCAGACTGTGTGTAATTACCTTTCTTGAACTTCACATTGATACCAACATGTAGATAATACTGTATAATATTTCATAATGATTATTATAAGGCTGAAGTATTAGTGGTTTTTGCTGCACACTTTCCCCTTCATTAGTTGCAGGCAATTTTAGACACTTGTTAGAATTAGCAAACCTTATTTACAGCAGCCACAACTCTCATCTCCATAATGTGCACAAGAAGATGTCTCAAATCGCCTTTACATTGTGAAGATGAAACTGGATTGCATGCGTGATGGAGAAAGGGAAACCTTGAGGATCAGAGGAAGCAATATGGCATAATCGAACAAAAAGAGTTTGAGGAGAGTTTGAAAACAAAAGGAGGTGGCAAAACGTAGGGATTTTGAGTGGAGTTGCACTTGGTAGTCCCTGGTACAAGGAGTGATGTGATATCAGAGGAGCAGGGACTATGCAAGGGCTGTAGGTGGAGAAGATTGATAATGCATGTTTAAATCAACAAGGACCAGGATCTTGGCAAGTTCAGTAGGAATCGCTGAAACTTTGAAGCAACATGGCTGATGGGAGTGTCAACATCTTGTTTTCTGAATGGAGGCGGAGTTTAGCTGACAATTGGAGAAGTCTAAATTTAAGATGATGAAGCTATAGATTGTCATTTATATTACTGCTGAAACCACAATGTTGTGGCAGTGGAGAAAAGTGTTTTTTTTTTAGGAAAGTAACTCAGTTTTAAGGTCAAGCATTCACCAAGCTTTCACTTATCCTGACCTAGCTCAAGAGCCAAGGAGGTTAATGAAGCCAAAGCAAGCAGGAGGTGCATAATTGTCAAGAACTGAAAATAATTATTTTAGTTTTGCCGATGGTAAACTGGGGGGAAAGAAAATTACCGCATTGAGTTCTTAATGTCAGCAGTTATTTGGAGAGTGTTAACAACAACCTTTCAGAGGATTAGAAGAGGCTCAGGAAGGAAAGCTAGTTGTTAACTTGTACATGAAGGCTGGTTTTGTGGTTCCAGTGATTCATGGGTGAATACACTGGGGTATATTGTAATTAATCACATACCGAAGGACAGGCGGTGAAGTGATCGAGTTTCTAGTGGACGGGAAGAGATATAATGGAGTGATTGAGGGTGCCAAGTAGGAGCGAGATAAGAAGGGAAGAGGAAGACCCTGAGTCACAGAATAGATAACCAAAGGCATCAATCTCATTGTATCTAGCAGCTAGAAGAAAAAGAGACTTTGTATTCATTGTCGCACCTTTCATATCCTCAGGATATCTCAAAGCGATTCTCAGTTAACAGATGCATTGAAAAGTGTAGTATTCTATTTGTAAGCAAATGTCACCGTCAGTTTGTATGTTGTAGGGTCACATAAACTGCAGAGAGATAATTGACCAGTTAATGCATTGTGATTGTGTTAGTTGAGGGAAGAATGTTGGCCAGGATAACCCAAGTTATCATGCTGTCTTAGTGAAGAATAATTAGAGTTGGGATTCACTGATCATTCTAATGTTGCTATTGTTAATGTTGGTAAGGATTGAAAAAGGTAGTAGCAATTCCAAATCCTTATCCAGACCCTTACTATTGTTCCTTGAGATTGAAGGCAGAGTAACCTGGTTGGTTAATAAGATAAATATTTTAATGGAAAAGGCCAGGGATTCATTGTATAGCTCTATTAAAGGGTAAAGGCTCAGATATTTTATATATCAGTCTGTTCAGAGATGTTATGACACCTCTGTGGAGCAGGTGGAACCTGAACCCAGGCCTCCTGACTCAGAGGTAGGAACACTATGACCGTGCCACAGGAGCTCTGCTACTCACTACAGACAAGGGGTTGGTTGGCCTGCATCTGCACTTCTCATTCTATGTTTCTGAGAGCCGCATTTAACTGATTACCAGAACCTGTATGAAACCGACCTGGACTGATTCCCTTTCTGTTTCATAGTGTGGAATCTTGCACTGGTCTGAGGAGCAGGAAGAGAGGGAAACGGTTGACCTTAATTGGGTGGGATGCCAAAATTTAGAATATGGATAGTGGGATGAATCTTTGTAATTAAGTTCTCCCTGCATAAACCGTATGTATCTTCCAGTTCCTAACTGTATATGAGAGGTGTGTAGCAGATGAGGTACTTGCAGGCCTTGGGACTGAGTAGCTGCTGCTCTGTCCTCTTTGGAGAGCATTTGTCTATCCTGTGCCATGATTGATCAGACTGCATGGTGGGCAGTCTAAGTTGCACAGAGCATGGAGGGAGAATGGAATGCAAGTGGCATATGCTCAGGAGGCTGACCAGGGAAGAGTGCAAGGGCCAGAATGTTTAGCTGCAGGTGTCCCTGCCGTGGGCCTGAGTGCTA